TTGTAGCCGCCTGCAAAGGACTTCCCCACGTTTGCTTTACAGAAATCTCTGCGCGGCAGATAGAAACTTCTGCGCGGGGTTTTCTTGCGACGTGCACGGCCGCGTAGCCGCGCACCTTAGAGGGAACAGTGATAGGGATATGATGAGAAGTAGGGAATGGGGAAGACAGTATAATGAAGACCAGAGACACAAGGAATCGGTTTGTGCCATCACTCAAGGCCATACACCCTGAGAGTGGATTGTGGACAACCCCAAATATCTCAATGCTTCTCAAAACATTATGTGGCACTTCATTGGCTCAAGATGATAGACAGAGAGGAATATAAGGTGAACAATTTGTAACTTTTTCATGTGGGAAAACTTAGTTCTAGCCTGACTTTCCTGCAACTAGTATTCTTTAGTAAATTTGAGGGTCTTTCTTTCCTGTGGGATCTACCTGGGGCAGATCTAACAGAAACATTATCAATCAGAAGAGGAGAGTTTGGTTTTTTGGATAAATTTTATTTATTCTCTATTATAAACAATGTTACTTTAATCTCTTGTTAATTTTCCAAGAAGAAAATTATGGAGTGCTTGCCAACATAGCTCTTTCTTAATCATGTCTATATTAACTAGGCAACCAAGCTGTAGGCAACCAAGATCAAGGGTACATGCCCTTGCAGGTGTTCTGTTTTAGAGGAATTTCAGCTGCTGTTTTCAGAGGGGAAGACAGAAGGCAACGAAACTCCTTTGTGCAGAGTATCATTTTCTCAATCCTGTATCATGCTCTAGGTCAGTGATAGCGAACCTTTTTGTTAAAGGCGTGCCAAAATTATATATGCATGCACGATCACGCGTGTGCATGACCCACACCCACAATACAATGTGCCCTGCTCAACTGCTCATGCGCGTGCAACCCCCCATGACCCCTTCCCCTGGAAAATGTCCTGAAGCCTGGGGAGGGTGAAAAATGGGCCCAATAGGCCAACCGGAGCCCTCTAGAAGCTGGGAATGGATCATTTCTGAATTTTTGGTTGGCCCATTGGGCCTATTTTTCACCATCCCCAGGCTCCAGAGGCTTTCCTGAACCCAAGGGAGGGTGAAAACAGCCTCACACAGCCCTCTGGAAGTCCAAAAATTAGCTGGCCGGCACCTGTATACATGCTGGAGTGACAGCTCATGTGCTGGCAGATTTGGCTCCATGGCACACGTGGCATAGGTTCACCATCACAGCTCTAGATCCATGATTATTCCCCAGCATTCCCTTTTCCCTCTGTCGCATCTGTCACAACTATCTGGGCAACTTTGCTTTGGCCATTCTATAGTTTTCCTAATGATGGAAGTGACAAGATAGCTGAATCTCTTCGCTCAGAAAAAAGAAGGGTACAAAAAAGGACAGCAGTATTCTGAGCACTAATTTGCATGGAGAATTTTTTGCTTACTCTATCTATTTCACTATGTAGCAGAGCATAGACCAGGAACAACTTATTCATTAGCAATGACATATATAGTGACCAGGAGTCAAACAAAACTTATTTTTTCAGTCAAAAAGAATAAAAATTGAGTAGAAGTCCTAAAGTCTCATAAAAAGCAAAGGCAAGCAACCCAATAGTGTAATTTGGCATTTTTTCTGTCAGTAACACTAGCATCTAAATCAGTCAGTTCACACTGGTTCACCCAAACTGATGGCAGAAATTTTGCCCAGTTCGGTGAACTGGTAGTGATGGCTGGCTGGCAATGCTCCTGAATCAGTCCCCCTGTCGCCGGTTGCTCACCCTGTCTGTTTGCTTGGACTTGCAAGGCAATGGGATGTGCATGCGCGAAGAAGATGGCGGTGATGGAAGCCACTTTTTCACCGACTGGAGGACTTTTCAGAGGCCTGCGGCCAACTGCCAGCCTCTTTGAGAGCCGGTATGCAAAGAGGCAGTGGATGGGAGGCTTCTTTGCCAGCCAACCGCTTCCCAGCAGTGATGGCTGGCCGAGGGCCACTGAAAATTCCAATCAGCTTGCCTTCCGGACTGGACCAGCCACCATGGAAGGTAAGCAATCAAAGGGGGGGGGGGGGAGAAAGCAGGGAAACAGGGGTGACTAGTGAAGAGAGGGCAGGGGAAGATAGGGAAAAATCCGAAATATTTCTCTACCTTTTCCTGTGTGCCTGGCTAGGTGGGGGGGGGGATGCAACTGAGTGGGCATGAGTGATGTTACATTGGCCATGCCCACTCAGTTACATGGCCCCTAGCCACGCCCATTGAACCGGTAGCAAACTGATTTAAATCCAGTATGAAAGGCCTTTCTGAATTATACATTTATTAACATCATTTTCATTCTAGCTTTCCATAATTCAAAACTAACACCAAACATAATTAGAATTTTTCAGAGAGAAATAAAATGAACCCTCAGTTCTACCCCTCCCCCTTCAAGCAAACCACAATGACAAAAGGAAATATATATGTATCTGTTTCCCAACTATATCAATCCCTTACTGATTAGTACTATATTTCAATAGATACCATCAATATCAGAAGGATAATGACCAAACATTGCAAGATAAGGCTCATAGATGACTGATCGGAATATCCATTCCCAACGCTGTTCATTTTTTCGTAGGATCCCTTGTCTGGCTACACCAAAAGCCACCATCCACACCGCAAAGAGGAACAAGAAGAAAAAGACATCTATCATCTGCAAAAGGAAATATAAACAGAAATATCATGAGATCTTTGCCAAAAGTCTTCAAATTGTTTTTAGGCTAAGGGGGAAAATGTCAAAAGTGGACAAGTACACTATTCATTATGAAGTCAATATTTATACTCTGCAATCAAACTAGAAATGGACTAAATACAGGTAGTCCTCAACTTATGACCACAATTGGAACCAGACCTTCTGTCACCAGTGATGTGGTTATTGAATGGGCTATGCCCAATTTTATGATATTTTTGCCACAGTTGTTAAGCAAATCATATATTCATTATGCAAATCTGGTTTCCTCCGTGGACTTTACTTGTTGGAAGCCCTCTGGAAGGTTGCAAATGGCAATCAAATGACCCCGAGACATTGCAAACATCAGGAAAAAAAGGTAGCTGCTAGTGCTCAATTTTTATCATGTGACTATGAGGATACTGTGATGGTAAGTGCAAGAACCAGTCATAAATCACTTTTTTCAGTACTGTCATAATTGAACAATCATTAAACTAAAGGTTCAAAGTTGAGAACTACCTATAAGCTATATAACAAGAATCTGCTTTAAAATAATTTGAATTTTCTAATCAACACAAGTTGTTGGCACTTAGAGACGAGCTATGGAGCACTTTTGATAAGACAAGATGTTTCCGATTTATGCAATTTATTAGCAGCCAGGCCTTCTCCCAAGAACACACGAATACCACAGACTAAGTATTCTCAGCAATAATTAACATGGGCGGACAATGATGCAAAATGACCTGAAATTTGGAATTTTATTCAGAACGCATAAACACTGAAACCAGAGCACATCAAGAAAATTCACTATAGCTTTTCTTTTAGACAAGATGGGATAGATGGTTCTAATTTCCTCTGTCCTTGATTCAAAATCCTTCAGGAACTCTGTTTTTCATACATATAATTAGAAATATAGTTTCCAATCAGTGGAAATTGCCTTATAATTGCCTTATTTTCTTCTATGTTGGTAAGATCTAATCTTGAATATTGCATCTCTCTTGGTACAACATTTAAAGAAAGATTCAGAAAACTGGAAGCATGATCTGGAGAGCACAACCTAAAATTGGAATGTTTAGTTTTGAGAAAGAAAAAAAAACTAAGGAGAGAATATCAAGCACTCTTCAAAAAGGATGTTAAAAGAAAAAAAAAAACAATTCTCCATCATTCACTGACTGCAGAAAGTTGGATCATTAATTAAATATTAATGAAGATTTTCTAATAGTAAGAAAATGGAACCAAGCATCTAGAGACATGATGATGTGAACACACTGGATGTATTTGAAATGGGAGGCTGGGGTGTTTTAATTTCCACTGAGCAGGACTTAAATTATTTAATAGCTTAAATTTCTACCTACAAATCAATTATTTGCTGCATATTAATATCAACACTGAAAACATTCAAATATTTTTATTATTGCTCTCATAGACAGAACACTCTGCAATAGACAAAGAAAAGAGCTAGAGTGCTCAGCCTTCAAATCAAATAACACCACTTTTTATACAGTGCATTTAGAAAGTATTCAGACCTCCTTCACTTTTGTCAATTTTGTTATGCTGCAGCCTGTTTCTACAGTTGTTGAAATTCACTTTTTCTCATTAATCTACTTAGTATCCCATGACGACAAAGTGAAAATAGAATTTTTGAAATATCTGTAAATTTATTAAAAAGGAAAAACTGAAATATTATGTTGACCTTCATGCAGTATTTTGTTGAAGCACTTTTGGCAGCAATTACAACCTCAGTAATTTTGGGTATGATGCAACAAGCTTTGCACATTTGGATTGGTGAAACACATGGCTAGGATACAAATGAAGGAATAAATTTTCTTAGAACAAGAAGCAATGGGTGGAAACTAATCAAGGAGAGAAGCAACTTAGAACTGAGGAGAAATTTCCTGACAATTAGTCAGTGGAACAGCTTGCCTCTAGAAGTTGTGAATGCCCCAACACTGGAAGTCTTTAAGAAGATGTTGGATAGTCATTTGTCTGAAACGGTATGGGGTTTCCTGCCTAGCAGGGGGTTGGACTAGACCTCCAAGGTCCCTTCTAACTCTGCTATTGTATTGTATTTGCCCACCCCACAATTGGTCAGTGGAAGATATGCCCAAAGTATAACTGTTAGAAGATCTTTTTAGAATTGAGAAGATCTGCAATAGTAGCTCATTTTGGGACTCTCACTGTTTCTTAGCCCAACTTAACTTATAGAGAAAAAATAATAAAGGAGATACCATGTAAGCTGCCTTGAGCTCCTAGAGCAGTGATGGCTAATCTTTTTGCCATTGCATGCTAAAAGTGGGGGGAACGCAGGGGGGGGTCATGTGCAGGTGTGCCACACCCATAATTCTATGTGCACGACCCCCCATGTGCATGTGTGCGCATCTCCCCTCACCCCAGTTTTGGTCCTCAATGGACCTGTTTTTCGCCCTCCCCAGGCTCCAGAGGCTTTCTCGGAGCCTGGGGAGGGTGAAAACAGCCTCCCCCTGCCCCCTCCCATGGCTCTTCACTGTCTCCTGGACTGCATCTACTGATCTAACTTATTTTATATATGTACTAATATACTTCTCTTCTATTAACATTTCTCTCCTTATCCATCATTTCTTGCTCTTTTAAGGATCCAATTTTTAATGATTTTTTGGTCTGCCTTTTATCCCACCCTCTTTAAGTCTTATTTCTCTTTTTTATTTTTATATGTATTACACTTTCTCTTCTGTGTCCCTCTTTTCTCTTTTTTGTGTGTGATTTGCTCTAATATTGTCTAATTGATTCTTGTCTTTTACTTCTTCTTCTAAACATTAAGTCTTGCATTTCCTTTGAATTCTTCACTTCAAATTCCTCTTCTATTTTCTTTTGTGTGTGTTTAAACAAACTTTCTGTTTCTATTACCTATCAAGGATTCACATACTTCTTTTAGCATGAAAAATATTTATCTATATCTGAAGCAGTATTGAAAAAGTATTTTCTCACCCAGCTCACATTCCATTCATTTTTTCCTCTCCAGCACAGTCTTGGATATTGTCAGGTTGTCCCTGATTTCATGGCAACCATTTTGGCTACTGTTGCTCCTCATTGTCAGATGAGGGGCCTTTCCCAGTCAGGGAGGAGAGATGTGGCTCTCCTCGATCTGCCAGGTGGTCCCACCTTACTTCACCCCCTTCAGGGGGCTATGGTCTGAAATTGGACCCTTCGACAGGGAGATATCGGAGCTGACTGCAGAGCTTGCAGATCAGGCTATTGAGATTGTCACGGAACCAGGGCTCTGCTCCCAGTTGGGTTTTGAGTTTCGTGGTTAAATCGCTTGTGGGTTGGCCTTCATGGTCATGGCCTAACAAATGGCTCTGCGTGCCACCTGTGGCATGTGTGTCCTATGTTCGCCATCAAGGCCCTATACCATTTCAGACAGATGGCTATCCAACATCTTTTTAAAGACTTCCACTGTTGGGGCATTCACAACTTCTGGAGGCAAGNCCTTCGGGGAAAAGGGCGGCATATAAATGAAATAAATTCAATTCAATTCAAATTCAATGTTGTGGTGACCCCCCAACCATAAAATTATTTTATGTTTTCTGTATTTTTTTTGAAAATATGTGTTTTCCGATGGTCTTAGGTGACCCCTGTGAAAGGGTCATTCGACACTCCTCCCAAAGGGGTTCCGACCCACAGCTTGAGAACCAGCGGTCTAGATAGTAAAGCAATGCAAGGATGAAACCTGAGAACTAAGTAGTATTTCTACTCACTCGTTGGCGTTTCCCATTGGTTCATATATGTACCAATTATCTTCGTCAGCCAAGTTGCCGGCGAGGTCCAATTCATCGCTTAGTAGCTCTTGGGAAGACATCCTTTCTGTTTCCTTTAATTTCCCAGGCAATCAAATCTAAAGAATATCTTTTTTTTTTAAAGAAAGAAAAGAAAACCAGATATTTTCTGAGCTGGAGACCCAATCCTTTCCAAAGTATGTCCTGTTATTGTAGCTTTAGTGGTCAAATTAAAAAAAAACAAACGAACTAGCAAGCTTTTTGGTCTTTCATACAAGCCACTCGGATTTCCTTCTGTCATTTAAGCTGCTTTCTTTTCTTTTATCCCCACGAAAGTTTATCCAAAGTGACTTCATCCTGTTGCAGCATTACCCGAGAACAAAGGAGGGGCAGAGGTTGGGGGTTAGCAAAAAAGAAAAGAAGAGAAAAGAAAAAAACAACAACTCAACAACTCACTACACAAACCAAACTAAGAATCGTCAGCTAAGGCTGTGCCCAGAACAAGCAGATGAAATAAACTACATTTATTTAACTTGGTTTCTCCCCAAAGCCTAAGGAGATGAAAAGCGTTTGGAAAAGCATTTTTTGCTCTTTACACCTATTTGAACGGAGGCTCCCTTTTTAAAATGTCTTTTTGCAAAAAATGAAAATAAAAATAAATCCAAGGGAAATATTACTTAGAAATAAAAGCTTGATTTTCGCCCCAACCAACGGTTTGGTCTGTCCGCCCCCCCCCCCAGCTCTCCTTTCTTGATCCTTTCAAAAGCACCATTGTTTGAACTGGAGAATCTGTGTAGTAAAAATATTAAAGCAATTTATATTGCTTTTGGGCTTAAGAAAACTCCGGTACGCACCCAATATTTAACTATAAAATTAATCAGCTGAACATCTTGCTACTCCTTTTTGACAGAGGTTTTAGTCATAGAATAAAGGAGAACATTGTAGAACATTTCTTGAGATTTTTTGCAGAAAAGTTGAGGTGTTAATGCACGGAATACATAAAACTGACATTTTCATAGGTTAAGCAACTGTCAGGCCTGCAATTATATTCCTTTTAGAATTTTGGCCTGCCACACTTTCTCTTATTTCGTTATGCTGTTTCTTTAAGTATAGTCGATGGGAGGGGGGAATAGACAGGAGTGGGATTGTGGAATGTATTGTTTTCATTCTTTACTAGAAGCCAAGGTCATCCTTTGTCTCCGCACTTTCACATCTGACCGGAAGAAGCTGGGTGTGGATACCAGCGTGGAAGAAGAAGATTGGACCATGTGATGGATTGTGGGTGTGGGGACAAGATCATGAACTTTTAACTGGGTGGAATTCTGATGTCATTTCCAGTATTGAGATCCATAGCATGATGCCAACATGTCTGTCTTATTAAATTGGAACTTTAAGGATAGTTTTGCCTTGGTCTCTGATTTAATTCTGCATGATATTTGGAACGCTGATAGCAACTTTGCCCCAAATTTAGCTGGTTGAATAAATGGCAACTAATGGCGATGCACTAGTCGGTGTTAGTGGGGGGGCAGAGATCGTCCCTGAGGCCCCTAACCTATGGGGTGCCGCAGGGGTCGGTCCTATCCCCCCTACTATTTAACATTTACATGAAACCGCTGGGTGAGATCATCCGAAGGCACGGGATAAAATATCACCAATATGCGGACGATACACAGTTGTATCTGTCCGCCCCGTGCCAACTCAATGAAGCGGTGGACGTGATGAACCGGGGACTGGAAGCCGTTAAAGACTGGATGAGAGCGAACAAGCTGATACTCAACCCAGACAAGACCGAGTGGCTGTTGTGTTTCCCTCCCAAAAATTTGACCACCATACCATCACTCAGGCTGGGGGGACAAAATTTAAACCCCTCAGAAAGGGCCCGCAACTTGGGAGTCCTCCTGGATTCACAGCTAACTTTTGACCACCATCTCTCAGCTGTGACCAGGGGGGCATTTGCCCAGGTTCGCCTGGTGCGCCAGTTGCGGCCCTACCTGAATCGGGAGGCCCTCACAACAGTCACTCGAGCCCTTGTGATCTCTAGGCTGGAATACTGTAATGTGCTCTACATGGGGCTGCCCTTGAAGAGCATCCGAAGACTTCAGCTAGTCCAGAATGCGGCCGTGCGAGTGATCGTGGGCGCACCACGGTTCGCCCACATAACACCGATCCTCCGTGAGCTGCACTGGCTACCTGTTGGTCTCCGGGTGCACTTCAAGGTCTTACTCACCACCTATAAAGCGC